TATTGCAAATTTAGTAAATATTAAATACTAAATTTCATTATAATAAATAGTACATATTTATTATAATGAAATTTAGTATTTAGAAAGGTTTTGGTGGTTAATTGTTGCCCAATGATTCATTATATATTTTCTTTTAAAAATGTATTAGTCATTTTTTAAAAAATTTTCACTGATTTGACTCTTTTTAATGATGGCCATTTTCTGTCAGCTCTTATTGAAGTATCACATATCGTTTTACCTTTCCTCCTCTCTTCTTTCATATTTAATTGGATTGTTTTTACTTTTTCATGCCACATAATGTCTACATAGTATTCTTTTGTTTTTATCTTTGGATTAGTCTTAGATTGAAAAATAAACATGTTGAAATCTCAATAGCAGGTAACTAAGCTTCCTTAGTTAGCTCTGCTGAATCTTCAGTTGGTTGTTCAAGAGGGATACAAGAGTCCAATATTACCTAGATTCTTGCAATAGTTAAAGAAATTTCTTTTCACAACAACCTACATATTTGAATGCTTAGTTCACATTTTCTCTCCTTGTATTTCTTTGAAAATGTTGAAAAAATAGATGCTTTGCTCTTTGAACTGCTTTGGAGCAGTTTGACAAGGATCTAACTGTGGTGCCATTGTAAATTTTTGATCTTTTCCAGAAAGCCCGGAAGATTATTTTTTGTGTGTGATTTAAGTCCCTTTTTTATTGTGAAAAATATAAATAACATAAAATTTACTATTTTAACTCTTTTAGGTGTATGTTTTAGGGGCCTTAAGCACTTCACAATGCTGTCAACTCCGTCCGTCTCCAGAACTTATGACAAAGGTCTTGAAAAAATGGCTTTTGAGTCGATCTCACCAAGTAACTAATAACTATATCAGCTTCTCTATGTGGGCCTCTTGATTTCAGAAACTCTCTTTGGAATGTAATTTTGAACACATTCTGTTGCATTTTTTGCAACAAATTCCACTTATATGAGTAATATTTTGGTCTGTCTTCCATTTTCATCATTTTTCTTTTTTTGACTTTCATACACAAACTCATCCTTTTTTATTACATTCCTGCTTTTACCCAATGCAATCTGTTTTTCTTTAGTTGTCTTGGAATCTGTTCTTCATATAAGTATGATTTAATGCTTACACGGGTTTCCTGAATATTAAAAGATCTTTTTCTCTCTCTTTTGCATTTCTATTCTTCCACTTTGAATTGCTAATTCATGAAGGTTTTTTTTTCTTAATAGTCCAAAATTTTGTTGGATAATATTTAACTCAATATAGTATTTTGTTAAACATTTCTACCTCTCCATCCCCCTCCCATTTTCTCTTTGGGATTATCAGTTTAGTACTTTAATAATCTTTTTATTGTAGAACTTTGTGTAGATGAAGACTGCTGGCACTTCTGAATCTGTGCATGGAATGGGTAATTGGGAGTTCATTATGAGGTCTACCTTAGGGTACGTCTTCCTTTTTTAATGTATCAAGTATTATTATTCAATCACTGTTCTTTTTTTACAGAGGCAGAATTGGTATTTTGTGCCTTGGTGTTTTTTCTTAGAGTCCTATATTTCCCCCTCACACTTTGATTTCTGCACTATAGAGTTATTAAAGGGCATCCTCTCTTCTCTTTACATTACTCTTTCCAGATTGATCATCTCCCTGAAATTGCCTGGTTCTCCCACATCTTTTAAGTACTGCCTTGTAGTCTACTCTGACCTTACAATTTACTTTGTAAAAGTACTATTTCCCCTTATTGGAGCCGTTTTTCCTGAAACAATCTTCCTTTCCAGAGGCAATCTTTTCCATCTCGGGCACTCTGTTTCCTTCTTCTTGCTTCTGGGCATCCATTTTCCCTTGATACTGCTTGGCCCTTCACGCAGGGCTAGGGAATAAAAATCAAGAAATTTTTCCCTCAAATTAATGCTTTGACTTGTTTCTTTTTCCCCTTATAGACATATTTTCAAGAATAGAATTTGTATAGTTTCATATTTTATTTTTTGGCCTGTGTATTTCTTAGGGAATATGTTGGGAGATCCAGACCTATGGAGCTGCTATCACCACCACGCTTACCCAGGAATATCAAGATGTAAGTTGATTAAAAAAACTGAATTTCCAGCATTGGTTTTTTCCATTTCAGTTTAGATAATGTAATAGATCAGAAGGTTATAAGAACACTGAAATAGATGTATCTTCCTGGTGTCGAGCAGTACTTTCAGAAGAATGCAACTCCATGAGATCCAGCAGGCAGAGGTGATGTTATAGAGCCAAAGTCCTCCCAAAAAGAGCCCCCTGAAGGGCCACGGAAACCGGGTGGCCCTTGGTAACCAGTTCTTGAGATCACACTGGAACAATTTCAAACATGTCACTCAGAGAAGGCAAGAGTTTATCAGTGGGATAGGAAAAGGGAAAATGTCACATTTGGAAGGGACAGTGGGTTCTTTCAGAAAAAAATAGGGATGGCACACCCCGCCTGTATTCCAATTCTATCGGGGTCCCAAGCAGCTTCCTGAGAGTCCTACCAGGTCCACCTCTGGACTTTTGCCATCAGGATGGCCTCAGACTTCAGATCCTCACTGCACATGTTCTTGCCCAATGGAGGGGTGACATGTTAAACATCCAAGGCACCTGGGCACTTTGACCCATGCTGACTGGTTCTAATTGGATCGTTTCTTACAGATTTTAGTGGTCACGAAGGCTTTGTTTCTCATAATAGTATCTTTCAGAGTTGTGGAAGATCTTGTCTGTGCAAAGGTCATAAATTCGCTCAGGATAACTGGTCTTCTTACAGAGTTTTAGGGATGTGGCTGCCACACCTGCATTTCTCCAGCACACAACAGGTTGCTTCCTGAAAAATGTGCCATATCCTATTGACTTAAGCCAGGCAGGGCTGTAGGTAAATTAGTTTTGAAAATTAAAACATGTGGGAGTCAGCACAGTGTGCCCAGTTCATAGAATTATTCCTTTAACCTCATGTTACCACTGCTCATTATCTGTTTGTTATCTATCAATCACACCCATTTTTTTTTATTTTTATGAAACAATAAACTTATTAGTAAGTCAACTCAAAATATAGTACCTTCTCTATTCAGCCAGAAAGATTAGAAGATGAATCATAATAAAGAGCTTTGATCTCAAGGGGAGCTACTATAAAAGAGAAGGTAGGTAAACAATTGATTAGTATTCTAAAATCTGGTGCAATAAAAGGATAAGTCCAGGACTTCTAACAGCACTCTGAAAGCTTTCCTAAGTCAGGCTGAGGTAGATATAGCTGGAGATATGCTTGAAATATTCTTGAAGTAGGTGGCACTTGGTCTATGTTTGGAAGGATGGGTTGGAATAATGTGAGTACAGAAGTATAAAAGAGGATTCTGGGATAAAGGAATAGTTCCTATTAATTCTCAAAAGCACACAGTAGGTTGATGTCTTATCATGTTGAACTATAATAAATACAATCACTTATGTTTGGGAATAAAAGCAGCTATATGATAGCTATATGATAGTGATCATAATAGAGAAATATGTTTGGCAATGAAAAAAAACTTGCTTGTGAATTTAAGGGGTTTAATCATTTTTCTAATGACTATGAGATATAAAGTTTGGAAAATGATCAGACTTGCTTTCACAATATTAATTTTGACTGATTATAAAAGAACAAATCAGATGAATGAGGACCCCCACTCAGTTTGGTACAACGAGTGAAAACGCTTACATTGCTTTAAAATAAAGTGGCAAAGAATTGAATGAAGTGATACCGATGAACCTATTTGAGAGTGCAGCTGAATATCATTTGTGTGATTCACCTGATGACCAGCTCAGTGAATAGCAACGGGTGAGATGAGAGAAATGCTGACCAAATAAGAGAGAAGATTTCAATATCACAACTAAACATGTGGCTGGAGTGACTGACATGCAGACAAGAGGCTGTTTTGGGAGAAAGGAAGAGTTTGCTACTACCTGGCGTGGAATTTGAATGCAGTTCTAATGAGAAAAAGCTAATAAATAGTCAGAATAGTGAAGCTGATGTTAAGAGTGAAGCTGATGTTTATAGAGGACTTTGAAATATTTTAAATATTGAAAACCATACTTAATTAAATTCCCTGAAGAAAAGGTATATGTTGATTGAGAAAGAAAAGATATGCATTTTTTTTTTGGAGTGGGGATACCAGGGATTGAACTCAGGTGCACTGAGCCACATCCCCAGCCCTATGTAGTATTTTATTTAGAGTCAGAGTCTCAACTGAGTTGCTTAGCACCTCGCTATTGCTGAGGCTAGTTTTGAACACATGATTCTCCTACCTTAGCCTCCTGAGCCACTGGGATTATAGGGTTGTGCCATCAAGCCCCACAAAAAAATAATAAACTTTTCACATTAATGGATGAATAGGAACTGGGAAGGCTAGTGAGGGAATGATAGAGGAAGCTAATCAAATATTTGCCATAGAATTTAAAAGAAGAAAGTCCCACAAAAAATTGAATGGAGGAGAAGGGCAGTTGTGTCAAATGCCAAGTTCAAATGAGTCAAAACACAAGGTTTCCTCTAAATTTGACTCTCTGGAAATCCCTCGTGACTTTATGGGTGAGTAAGTACTCCCTGACTATCATGGACAGGAGACCTTGGGTTCTAGGAATGATCAATAGCTAATACAATCAGATGCAAATGCAAAAGAAAGCATTTTGAGGTCACCCAATTACAGACCACTGGAAGCCATCACCCAGGTTAGACCATTTTAATGAGAAGGGCAGCCTGGCCTCAGAAGATTCTGGAATCCTTGTTCATGCTAGAAGCATTTTGTTTTTAGGAATGTAAACTCATTAAAACATAATAATTACCACTAACAGTTCTTTAATAAGAGTTTGGATACTTTGTTTCCTAAGAAAAGAACAATCTGAAGGAATTCATAAGCTAAATTATTCTTTTATCTGGAAATGAGGTCACCTGTTGTGGTTGACCACACCCACTACTGAGGGTATAAAAACTTTCTGGGACACTAGAGGACACACACACAGATACATCTCCTTCGTTGTCAAACCAACTCACCACTCCTGACACCATGAGCTACTACGGCAGCCATTATGGTGGCCTGGGCTATGGCTATGGCTGTGGCTGTGGCAGCTTCCGCAGACTGGGCTGTGGCTGTGGCTATGGAGGCTACGGATATGGCTCTGGATTTGGAGGTTATGGATGTGGCTCTGGATTTGGAGGCTATGGGTATGGCTCTGGCTATGGAGGCTATGGATATGGATGCTACCGCCCATCATGCTGCGGAGGATACAGAATCTCTGGATTCTACTGAAAAGCTAGCTGATTCTCAGACTCTTCGGCCGCACTCCTGCCTCTATGCTTCAGGGAGGAAATGCTTTTCTGGATGTAGCAGAAACAACTAATATTTGTTGACTTCAAGCTCCAGAAGGCCCCGTCACCAATTCTAGTAGAAAGTGGAATCTTCCCATTAAACCGAACTGTTCCCCACTAGCATTTCTTGTGACCATGCCTGACCTATGTTTAAAAATGATTTTAAATAAATATGTTTCACTGACCTAGCAAACATGGCTTCATCCATTCATTTCAAATTGGAATCTGGTATTTCCATCAGGATGTTAGATTTTTTTTTTTTCTCCTGAACTGATGTTTTGTTTCAACCATAAATTTAATTCAGTATGTATTCTCTACATGTCTCCATGTGCTGAGTAGCATTCTAAAGGCTAAAGATATGGAAGAACAAGATAGAAAGAATGTTGCTTTCTTATGTTACTTCTCATTTGTTTTCAGTGATTTTTGTGCTTTTTATAATAGAATTCTATGCAGTATCACTTTTAT